GTCAGTGACTCTTATGCAATGCTGCTGCTCCTGCTGCATACCTGCTTCCATGGTACATTGTCTGGATTTACACAGTAAAGAATGATGCATCCCCATTACTGGCCTCTTTATAATCTATTAATACTCTTGTCATATCTATAGGAGTGTGATTGTCCTTTTCCCCTCTAATGCAGGGCCTTCCTCTCTCTTTGCCTTTAAATCTGTTGGTTAGATAAGTCTTATATGTGAATTATTGATGCTAAGGGACTGAGCCTCTGTGCTCAAGGGTTTTTTCTGCTCCATTACTGCTCTCCCACTGGGTCAGGAACTTTACCTGCGATTTGAGCTTCAATTTACCCCACCAATCCTGAGGAAGTGTAGCTATTCGACCAACCCTAACCCCCAGCGTCAGGCCTTTACACTAAACCTACCGTATATCTAAGGATATTTTCCACTGTTGATCTCACATGTGGCACACATTAAGAAAAAGAAGAAGCTTACTAGCTGTACATCCAGTAGATTATCAACCACCACTGTTAACACACTGAAGGCTCAAAGACCAGCTAAATTGCAATATACAGTATTTCAATAAAGCGAGGTTGGCCAGGAGAGAAGCAGCCTTAACAGAATGGCATCAGGAACAGAGGCAGGTTATAGGCTGATTCCTACCAGCCCTGTGGCAACCAAGCAGGTCAGAATTTGCACTTATCCCAGTTGTTACATCCTAGGTAGGGCTCCAATAATCCAGAACACCTTAATTTAATGACCACTTAAATCTGATAGGCAGGTCAGTGCGTATTACTGTCGAATGAGTTCATTTTTCATGTCTGGCATCCTGGTGTCGCTTCCATTGAAGGTACATCTGTGATGTGTTCATGGTGCAGGTGTAAAGTGGGTTACAGTGCTTGAACATCTAATTAGTAGCACAGAAGAGGAGCAAGCATAAACGGAGTAAGGGTTTTTTAAGTGACAGTTTATTTCAAATGAATTTTTTGAGCACCTCAACATAACACTCCGCTGTTTGTGTCTGCTAGCTATAAGGTGCACATGCCGATCAGGACTACTTGGTATGTACTAATAGATAAACTGGAAATAAAAGCTTACATGTAATGTCCTCAATCAACTTAGCAATTTAAAATCATATATTGAATTTATACATGAGCTGTTTGTTAAACAAATTGAGAGCAAAGCAGGCTGTTAACAGTCAATGTTAGGTTACATCAAGCGTCTTGATAAATTCAGTTGGAAGTCTAAGTCTGTCTGACAAAAAAGTTATTATGTTTCTTATTTCTAATTAATTCCTCATTAATTCCTTCCCATATGCTGCACCAGTACACCTAATCTCAGGGTTTCCCCTTAGACTAGGTATTACTTGGTGCTGTTGTTTCTGTAACTAACAAAAATTTCAGATGCAGAAAGGAAGCACGTCTGTCTAGAGATGATATGTCTAGAGATTAACATCAACTCAACGTTTCTCACTTCCCAATGCTCACAACTGAGTGTTGGAGCATAGATCGCCCACTAAATTGAGCTCTTCAGGTCCCTTACGGGGAGCTGTATATGGCCCACAATACTGCTGTAAGTACACAAAGTATTGTATTTTACCCTCAATCCTTATCCATTCGAGTGCCATTTGTTTACTCTTGGAAGTCCTGCCTAGTTGTACTGATGACACTGTATCTTTCTTTGGCATCCCATCTTTCAAGGGATTCCCATGTGATTTCTTAAATTTACAATTGCTTTCGCTCCATTTCCCATCGTCCTCCTCTTCTTTTTTTTTTGTACTCTTTGCTCTGTGCTCTGCACTCGTATTTCTTCTCACGCTCCTCTATTCACTTTTAATTCTGGTCTACCAAATACAGCATTAGCGCTGTATCATTTCATCTCCCAGCCGTTGGTTTACTGCAGTGATTGCTATGATAGCACCTTGTGCTCAGGTGCATCCATAATCTGTTGCGCAAACACACGATGTGTCCTCTCACTGTCTGAGTCACACTTCAGCAGAGTAGCTCCCCTGACTCATCAGTCTGACCTGCCTAAGCCAGGCTCGACCTTTCAGAGCTTTGTAGACAAGGAACGAAAGGTCGTTGCTGATCTGAAGAGAAGCCGCTTTTCATCTCCATAAAGGTCACACTTTAGTTTGGTATGACAGCACAACCATAAGAATAACAGTATAAAAAGTTCCAGTATTCTTTGTCATTTTTGTATTGTTTGTATTCTATTGTTCTGTATTGTGTTGTAACTAGGCAAGCTAGTGCTTCATATGAAAACCAAAATACCCCATCAAGAACATTTAGCATTTAGCCTGAAGAGTCTCACCCGAGGCAGTGTGTCTTTTCCTGTATCTGTTTCTGTGTGTTGCTGCCAAGACGAAGGGGACGTGGGTAAATATTTTTTGCTTTGTGTGTGTGTGCACAGTGGCTGGGTAATGGGTGGGGGGGGAGGGGCTCCCTTAGCGATCCTCAGAACTGGGTCAGAGGGATTAATATCCTGACCTGGCTAATTGGAGCTGAAGTTCACTTCCAAAACTGCTAGTTCACCCACAGGCAGCCTCAGCCGGGACTCCACTATGAAGCTTTTCACACTCTGAGGGCTCAAGGAATGTGTACAGTATGTGAAGCAATGCTTTTAGATTGTGTGTACATATCCTTTATTATTTGACTCCCTGTTGACAGTGTGAATCTAGAGCATTTACAGTGCATTAAGCTAACAGTGGCAGAAGTGGCCACGAGAACAGCTCAGTGTCAGCGTATCAGTCAAAATAAATCCTTAGCAACAGCCCGACACTAGTGGGAGGCTTAGACCCCCCCAGTCAGTCAAAGGTTTTAAGACATAAGCATGATTGTGCAGAGAAAATACCACATTCTTTCACTTACAAATACAAATGGATTTAAAAATGCACCTTTATTCAGTACAGTGGTCTGTAGTTATCCTCTTTGAGTTCTTTATTCTTATCAAACTAAAACAGTACAACAGGTACCACGTGTGGTCAGTCAGAGTTTTTCTAATATGGAACAGGCCAGCCGTTGTTTTGTATTTACCGGTCTTACAAGAGAAAAGGTTAGAGGAAGCAGCGTTTCTGCTCCTGTGCCTGTCAGTGGTTGTATGCATCTTTTGTGAAAACCTAGAACATTTAAGCTAGTTAATGTAGATTACTATTCACATTACCTGTCTTTACACATGAAAAAAACATACACATAAAAAATTGAAATTGAATGTAACACATTATCTTCATTGACAAAAAGATATAAGTTAACTGGCTTTTTTTACAAGAACCTTGTGGTACTGGCCACACCGCAAACAAAGATGGGCTTCTGTTGAAGTTTATATAGATTTCTGTATACTATGAACTATACTGTGTCACTATGTTGACTTTGTTCTACAGTATGTTTCATCATTTACTATTGTGGCCACAGAGACTGTTTACTTCTGCTTTGCACTGGTTGTATGCATTCAAGGCGTCCTCATGATGGATATTTTTTATACTTTGTACAGTATTGAGTGTTATTGATTAACATTGATGTTCTTTGCAAAGATGTAGTAAAGAACAGCACAGCTGTTTCAATGTTTTTGTCATTCAGAGCCAGTTTGACAATCGATTGCAATTTGCAGACAGATTTCAGGGTTTTGCGGTGGGGGGGGGGGGGGTCTCTTTTCTGTCACTCAGAATTGATTTTGTTTGAACTGTTGGCTCGAGGCAAAATTGGTGCTTGGCCTGATTCTGTTTCGTCTGCCTAGAAACTGAACAACAAATCAATGAGTACGAAGCAACTTACTCCTCAACAGCATATTTTGCAGTACCATCACTATAACGGTGATGTGAGGACAGACATACAGCCTCACATCTTGGTTGTGTTCGGGTGTTTCTGCCACCAGTGGGCCTTTTGATGTGCTGGAAGTGATTTTTATTGGGTTTCGTACACGGTCTTTCTCCTCTCTTCTACCATAAGGCATCCAGTAATGCAAATGAACCCTGTCTAAACCTCTGTGAGCTGTGTGGTCTTACTGTACACCATGGTTATGTCTGCAATATCACGCATGCCTGCCAACAATTATTCAACGTATCAAATTAATTGACTTTTTATTTAATAAATCACAACAACAGTTGCTTCATGGCACTTTATATTCTAAGGTAAAGCCAATAATACAGAGAAAACCCACTGGGAGGGGCGGTTAGGTGGATAAAGACAGGACAAAAACACACTTTGGAAGAGATCTAGAGATTAATAATAACTAATAATTAAATGTAAAGAGGTGTATTAACACATAGTGAGTGAAAAAGGTGACTGAAGAAGATGCACTCGATGTGGGCGATCATGGCTCAAGAGTTGGGCGTTCGCCTTGTAATTGGCATGTTGTTGGTTCGAGCCCCGGCTCGGACAGTCGTTGTGTCCTTGGGCAAGACACTTCAACCGTTGCCTACTGGTGGTGGTCAGAGGGCCCGGTGGCACCATTGTTCGGCGGCCTTGCCGCTGTGGCTACAATGTAGCTGCCATCACCAGTGTGTGGATGACTGGATGTGTAAAGCGCTTTGGGGTCCTTAGGGACTAGTAAAAGCGCTATACAAATACAGGCCATTTACCACTCAATACATCATGGGAATACCCCAGCAGCCCATCTAAATGGCTTTTAGTGACTTTAGAAGATCTTCATTAGGTTTGGCTGGTGGAGCCAATAATATAGACTGCAAAACTGCCTTTTTGCATGGATTCACCATTGGTGCGCAGTTTACACTAACAGTTCTCACGACCCAGATAGGAACTACTTGAAAGTTCATGACATCTTGAGCCAGTTGTTGTGGGAGTTACCACATTTAGCAGCTTTGCATTGTTTCTTCAGGGGAAGGGATGTTTTTATGCTCAAGAGGATATTATGACTCTCTCACTCTCTCTCTTTCCGTCTCTTCTCTTCCACCTTCTTCCTTCATCTGAACATTTCAAGTAAGCTGTCAGGCTTTTTTAGTACAATAAGTTGCAAGGTTGCATGTCTGATTCCCCGTTGTCTCTCCTTTATTTTATAAGGTATTGGCAAAAATGTAATCTGCGACAGGACCGCCACGCCTCTGGATGCCTTCCGAATGATGTCAGCTGCCCAGTACTACCCCAAGCTGCTGAGCATTATGGGAAATGTTCTGCGTTTCTTGCCAGCTTTTGTTCGAATGAAGGAGCTGCTGGAGGCAGGTTACGTCGGAGAACTTCTGGTCTGTGAGGCCCAGGTATGACCAGAACTACTTCTGTTTATTGCTGTGTGAAGACATTTTATACAAATTGTTTCTTATGCTTTTATCTCGATGTTAGATTGAGTTATAGCAGCACCGGTATAGCAAAGAATCAATGTTGCTACAAGACACTGGTGGTACCCTGGTGATTTGATCCCAGATGCTACCCAACTATCTCCTTTTCATTCTTGCTTTTCCTGATCACAGTCAAGTGAGCCATAATAAAATCTAAAAAACTTGTGCTCCCTCCCCTGTTATCCTCTTTGTCTTAAAGGTCCACAGTGGTAGCCTCCTTGGGAAAAAATACAACTGGAGCTGCGATGATCTGATGGGAGGCGGTGGCCTGCATTCGGTTGGCAGCTACATTATTGACCTGCTTACGTTTCTGACAGGCCAGCGTGCGGCCAAAGTCCACGGCTTCCTCAAGACTTTCGTTAAACAGACCGACCACATTCGGGGCATCCGCCAGATCACCAGTGACGACTTCTGCACGTTCCAGATGGTACTGGAGGGAGGCGCCTGCTGCACCGTCACGCTCAACTTCAATGTCCCCGGAGAGTTCAGGCAGGAGGTGATAGTTGTAGGGACTGACGGGAGGCTAACGGTCACAGGGACAGACTTGTATGGACAGAAGAACAGTGGCGGTGGAGAAAGTGGTGGCGGCCCTGAGCTCCTGCTCAAAGACACCACGCCTCTCGAGAAGGCCTCCCTGCCGGAGAAGGCCTTCAGTGACATTCCGTCCCCTTACCTCACCGGGACGATCCGCATGATCCAGGCTGTGCGGCAGGCCTTCCAGGACCAAGATGACCGGCGGACGTGGGACGGGAGGCCCCTGACAATGGCTGCCACTTTTGAGGATTGCCTATATGCTCTGTGTGTGGTGGATACAATTAAGAAGTCCAACCAGTGCGGAGAGTGGCAGAACATTGTGGTCATGACAGAAGAACCAGAGGTCAGCCCAGCTTATCTGATCAGCGAGGCCATGCGGCGGAGTAGGATGTCCCTCTACTGTTAGCATTTTTAAAACTCATGGTGGCGCTCAAGCGGCATTGTTGGAAGTTTTTTCACAGAGCTGCCGGATTCCAGTTTTGTGTTGAAATTTGTGTTGTCACTGTTACAGAGGCTTTACACGACGACGTGCAGAGAGTTGTGGTTTCCCGTCCTCAGCGGTAGGAAAAGCAATGTGATAAATAATCAGAACTTTATTTATAAAGAAGCTTTTTTTTTTCATTTTGGCAGCAGGTTTAAGCCCTGCGGGGAGATGCACTTTTAAATCAAGCTAATTCATGCAACAGAAGGACCTACAGTGGCGGCATATCAGGGAGTGAAACTACCTGCTGGTTAGTTGGTCGATCAGTAGGAGGCGTCCTTGTGGGGATCGCCTTCTAATGTTCCCATTTCACCAACAGATACTTGCAATTTCATATGCTTTTCATCACCCCTGCTGGCTGCTTGATCAAACAGTTATTTGTGCCTCCTGTTTCTCCTTCTCTTCTATATAACTGGTCTAGAAAGACACACGCCCTACACTGTGGGTCTGAACAAGGACTGCCAAGGAAGAACGATAGTCTTTTTTTAAAATTGTGCCAGTCTGTTGTTGCTGTAATCTGAAGTACTTTTAGTACTAGTTTTACCAAGTGAATGTTAAAAAAAACAAGTCAGTGTGCTTTATAGTCATGCTCTGTCTGCTCCGTATGTTTCTCCTATGTGTGTGAAACAAGAGAAAAAAAGAATCAATCATTTGGCTGGTGTTTTTTTGGGGGGGGGGTCCCAGAGGACTCTGGTTTTCATATGCAATATAAACAGGCAGAAGGGGCACTAGTTTCTCTCTGAGCCTGAAATAAAGGGTTAGATTAAACTATGGTATGCCTTTATGCAGTTCCAGTCGGCTGTGCATCACCTGCGTGGTTGGTCAGTGTAGCGGTACTCTGACTCGTTTTATGCTATCATTGTAGCGACTTAATCTCATGTGGCACTGAAGTGCAGACAGTCTTGCATGTAAGTTTGCAAGCTATGTGCAGATTTCATTCGCACACTTCTGTGCAATCAGTGCTGCAAACTAATTGCAAGCCCGTGTGGTCTGCCCAGAGCTTAAGTAAGACTGAGAACTTGCAGTAAATCAAGCAGTGTAGCAAAGTGTGGGCGACTACATTTTTAAAAAAAAAAGAAAAAGTTTTTATTCAAAGTGTTAAGGTTGGTGTTATTTTGTGTTTTTTTTCTCATTGTTGGAAAAATTTCATATAGGCCTAAAGATCAAACCCAGTAGCATTAATCCATCTGTCAATAATTCCTAACTACAGTACAGTGTCTGTGGCCCTTGGCCCCACACCCACTGATCCCTGCTTTCAATTATTACATCAAATTTTTACATTAACTGTTTTTAAAAAGAACAGTTCAGATATGCGTCCAGCGTTTTGGCCTCTTTTAGCTCATGTTCCAGTGTTTTGGTTTTGCGTCACTCTCACCGCTCTCACTGACCTTATTTCCAGCAGCAGCAAACACACTATATGCTGCCATACATATTTTTAAAGGAACTACAAGGTTCCTTCAGTCCACTGATATCTATGTCACCAGTGTGCTCTAAAGACTAAAGAGTATTACGGAAATTGGTCCATTGACATGGAAACTCAAAGGCTGTTTTAATATGCAACTTTAAGAAAAGGGTTATGGTACTGTAGAAGACTACAACAATAAAGCCATACCAAACAGTACACAATTAAAGCAATTAAAGCTTAACTTGCAGTCCTGCTTTGAACCCCTATAGAGCCAGTGCCGTAGTAGGTGACAGCGCTGTCTGCACTGGTCTGCTGCCAAGATTGAATCTAACTTATTTATTTAGTTTATGCGCGGATTGTCAAGAGGAATGAAAACATGAAAACGGCATCCGCCTACATTGGAAGATTAATATCTCTTGCATTAGAATAGTGAGGAAGCTAATCAGTAAACTATGCTTACACAGACCATCAACACCAAACAGACCAACCACAGTTGTTTTCTCTGAAGGTGCACATCAGACTATGCTCTAGCTACACTGTAGTTTTAAAACAGTTGTAAGCGTGGCAGGAACCACTGCAGCGACGTTGTCAGCTGCGCTTCAAAGCTGTCCATGTCGGTTTGCTGCTTTGTAAATAGCAACAATGCTGGAAAAGAGATGAGCAGTGGCAGTGAAGCAGTTTCAAAATGCCCGAAAGCAATCACATTTTTGATCTTTTGCAGTTCAGAACAATCGATATTACTACAAGCCCCCACACTGGTTAATATTTTAACTGGAACTTAATTCAAACCCCAGTCCTCCATACAGCTTTCTATTATCTGGACAAAGGCAAATGCAGCTTTGGACTTGTTATGTAAGCAGAAATGTATGCTGTAAGTTTCATCAGCTTTCGACTAATGCACGTAACAGTTTAACCCACCAATCAGAAAACATAACAAGCAGGTGTGTGACTCACAGCCCAGCTTCCCGGGAAACAGAAACAAACCATCAGAAAGTGATGAAAGCAAATACAGCTGAACTTAAAGTTTAACGTCAGTCGACGCAGGTGAAGGAATAACACCAACCCACAAGCCAAAAGATTGATTTTTTTTAAATATGCATTCTCTATCCATAAGCTGTGCTGAAATACTAAATATGTAACGACTACTGAAAATGTACATAAAAATAATATGAAGCAACAATACGCTTTTGTCTAAAGAATTAAATCAGTACTGTATGGGGTTTTTTGTTTTTGTTTTTTTGTACAAACCAAGGAACTGGAACATGTCTGGATGAATGTTAGGGTATTTATTCTATGTTGAAGTTTCCACTGACTGACCTGCAGTGCTATTGTGGGAGCTTAACAGCAGACTGAGGCCTTCGGAGCATTCAGCTTCTTATTTCCATTTATCGGATATTGACCAAAAGAGTCTCTTGTGAAAAGCTTTATGTTTTCTCTTTAAATGCACTATATCAGAAAGCAGCACAACTACACCGTCACCCATGAACTCATAGATCATAGAGTGTCAGTGCATGCTCTTTTATTGTTTACTGTTTAGTGCTTTGCTGAGGCCAGGCCCTCTTTAAAACCCCTCATGTCACAGAACAGAAATTGAAGAACCAGAAAACACTTTTGCCTAAATAGTTTGCATGAAAAGCGCAGAGTCCGACACTGATAAGCTGCCTCTCAGTACTTCAGGGAAAATATTGCCCCGTGTTTAAACGCCTTATCAAATCTGCATATAGACTTTCCCCCCTTTGTCAGTTAAGCTCACAAGATATAGCTATGTAAAGAAAAAACAGAACATGCACAGAAGTTAGACTTGTTTCTTCAGAGTTGAATTTGTCTGTTTATTACCATCAACACAGATTTGGGGAAATGAACCTAAGGGTTGGTCGACTGTGAAGAAGACACTAGATAAGCAGGCACTTAATAGGAAAAAGGAGAGGTCTTTAGGACCCCACTGATATGGCCTTTAACTCATTATACTGCTGTTTGATTTATAGCTCTCTGCTGGAGTAGAACTGGTTGTTTATTTGTCCCTGTTGAGTTCAGCTGGAGGTGAATGATTTGCCTTTCTCGCTGGTTAAATATAGATAGACGCACACAGGGAGGGAAAGGTTGGAGGCTAAATATAACACCTACAGCATATTAAAGGCAGCTTATGACTTAGGTTAACTTTTATTGCAGTAAAATCTGACGTTTTTGCTTTAATTGGTAGCATTTTATTTGCAGGTCTGTTTGGCCCTTATGCACTCTCGTAAAGTCCTGTGTGACTGTGCACTTTGGTGCAGTCAAAGATCTGAGAGTGTGATTTCTGGTTAATTTCCAGTTGGATTCTCTTGTGAGTCCTCCCTGTTTCTGCACAAGTAAATACTTTATGTGCTTATCTCTTCCGATGGAAAATGCATTTTTCAGATCAGTTCAGACTTTCTTGAGGACACATCTCAAAGGAGGCAACATACTTAAGACATAGGATTTGGAATTTGCATAAAGGCAGAGCTATGAGCCTTCGTATTCTACACGAGGGCCTGACTACGACTGATTAAAGCCAAAACTACGTAGATGTTAGCAGTTGGCTGTGCTGATCAATTTGCTGATAATTAGTATTGTGACTCTTTCCAGTAAACCTCCCAAGCATTATTAGAACATTTTGAATCTCTAAAGTGCTAATTAATTATTAAGAATTTGTGACACGTATCTATTATTTTTACCAATGCTGCCACCATGCCCCCAGGGTGGGGCCCTGATGAATGGATTAGTGGTAGCAGTTTTGGGGTTGGGTTCAGTTCTTGGGATCACGCTCCAGGCAGGATTTGTGATAGTTGTAAGGAAGTCGATGTCTTTTGGAACAACCATGGAAGGGAGCTTGATCTGCATCATAGACTGTAAAGGATAGATGTGGCTTCCAGGTCCTAAACCTGAAGCCAGTTGAAAAGTGCCTTAAAGCTGTCGAGTCTTACTGAATACAAATATTACGATCCTTAGTAGAGTTTAAAAAACAAAACGAGAACGCAGGGAATCCTTTAGGGCGGGGCTACCTAGTGATTGACAAGTCATTAATATTTAAGTTTGCGGTGTCATAAAAATATTGACAACGCTCAGCTCGAGGCTTCGCAAATCAGTGGATGACATCTGCCATATCCATCTTTTATACTCTATGCTAGGTAACAGTGTTGATGGTGATGTCAAAGGTACACGTGCCATGAGCCAAAGTCTCCTAGAGGTGTTACACTAAAATACTCATCGTGTTTTACTGCACCTATTTTAATGTTGTGGCTGATTAGTGTATGTTGCCTGCTCACACAAGCTCACATTGTTTCAGCAGGTTTTAGTGCCTCTGCACAAATAGATTCAGTGTGCTTTTAGATCAGCCTGGGCCTCATCTAGAAATAAATCAGCTATATTTAGTGTTCCGTGGTCAGAAGACCCATAAACTTAAGTAGACCTTCTTGAGCTCTTCATGTGTTTGAAGCTTATCTGTGTAGGGGTGAGTGCAGGTTTCATTCATGTCCACACAGAGCCATGGCCCTTCACAGAGACTCAGTTAGTGGATGCAGCAAAAACTTTTCATTTCAGCCAGTCTAGATGCTGGATAGGGGAAAAAAACAGTGAATCAGAGAAGAAGTCATTATGAGTGTTGTTACATCACAAGGTTTTAGTGGTCATTAGCAAAGCGTCTCCACCAGCTTTCATCTGTGAACGGAGAGGCAGTGAGCAGCAGTCTGAAACACACGAGGCAATACGTGGCTTCTGAAGCGCTGAATATTTAATGAGGAATGTGAATGAGCCGATACGGCACAGTGTGAGGATGTCATGCATTTTATCTGTTGACTGATTTTATCTTTTTTTTTTTCTAAGTTGAACCACTGAGTGTTTTTGCTTTTCATTCTGATGACAAATTTTGTTGGTTTTTCCTCCGCCTGTCAGGATGGCCCGATTGTGCGTTGAGAAAGACGCTGCAGAAAACCTAAACACAAAACAAGAGGTGCTCCGGTTCCAGCACTTTGCCTCGTTTGCTGACAGTCTGACTATGAACCGCTCTGTCTCTGCGTCGACAGCGTTCACTGACTCATTGCTCAGGAAAGGCCTTCGCTCGCTGAGAGGGAGAAAGAGCGAGAAAGGAGGTGGAGGTGAAGGTGAAAACCTCAAAGAGATGCTTCTCATACACTCGGAGACTGTTAATTCGCAGCCGGATCCCACATTGCCAAAACTAAGTCTTGATTTGACCCCTCTCATCTCATTCTTTCACACTCGCTCCTCTGTAGGTCTCCCCTCCCTCTGAGGTTCCTTTTTTCAGCTACTGCTGAGAAAGTTGATTTGCTTTACTTTGCATCAATCTCTCCTTTCACTTGTCCCCTTTTCCTCCCTTTCCCCTTTCTATCGTGAGCCAGGTTGAAGCCTGGAGGAAAAGCTCACTGGTGCTTCTGCAGACCTCCCGCTCATCTTATTTGTTGTTTTCACAGCCGCACAAAGGCCGCTCCGTACACTCACAGGTTGTGAATGCCTTTCCACAGCTGACTCTGGCCGTGTCTTGCTTGCTTCCCGCTCCACAGATATCCATTTTGATGCTGTATTGTGACTATATCTGATATTTATTGTTCTGTATGTATATCGTGGATGCATGGACCTCTGTAGATACTGTAATTTGAACTCTCAAACGCATATTTATGGGTCTTACTAGAGAGAATGTACTTGCTGTAGGAATAATTTATATTTTCTATCCGTTAAGGAGGTCAGTTGGTGTCACAAATAAACGCCCTGCTGTAATGTTTTGTTTTTTTGTTTAGTTTTTTTTGTTCTGAGTGACTGTGTAACTTCTGTTTCAGTGTTTACTGGCAAATCTCCCTGCACCAGTGCTCGGCATTGATCGAATGTGTGTGGCTAAGGGAATGCGTGAAAGTGGGGGAAAATAAAGTGTGATCTTGTGTTTGCGACATGGTTTACAGCTTCAGCACTTGTCTAATGCTGCAGTTTCTATGGAATAAACAATATATACATACACGATGGCTCTCATTTCATTTTTCCTCAGTTAGATACTGGGCCACCACATGCTGGCAGGACTGCTTCAGCACACTGATTCTCCAAGTCTCTGATACTCTACTGGAACCAGGCACCCATTTCTTCCGTTATTTAGTGTTTTTATGACAGTCGTGGAATGCACCATCTTACATATTGCTCTTTAACATTTCACTGATAGGTACGTGTTCCATTGGTTTTAACATATGAAAGACCACAGAAATTCTGTATTACTTTGCAATAACCTTTCCACTGACAATTAGACTCAAACTATACCTGCAATTAACCCCATAGCATAAGATGGCCAGCAGATCCCACACTGTACATGTAAGGAGTTCCTGTTTTTGCTTTCATTTGTCACTCTTATGTGTTTAATATGAAGAAAGGTTAGAAAATGTGTATTATGATAAATCCAGCTTGTGTTACTGAGCATTTTTTGAAAGTCTTTGCTGACCTCTGCTGGCTATAGTGGATGCTGCACATGGTGTTGCTCAGACACAGGAACCCAAGACCTTCTTGCTCAAAGGAAACAATACCAACTACTTTGCTGCCAAAACCCAAGATTAAACTTGTATATAATCACGTTTCTAAAATAGGTTCTTTTACAAGTTTTCCAATACCACTCTTCCTGCTTTAAACCAATATTGCATTCTTCCATTTCCTGCTTTTTTTTTTAATAACAGAAGACTCATTACTAACTGCGTGCAGACGTATTAGAAAACAGCTGTCTTAAATGAAGGAAATATCAAATCAAAACTGTGTGTCGTGTTATTTTAATTTTGTCTGTATGAAAGATGATCAGCTAAACTAAATCTTAACACTGAAAAGTCTCGGCTGGAGCTGCCACATGATTCAAGAAAAATAGAGAACGAGTCCTGAAAAGTGCTTCAACACATGATAAGAAAGCAGACCGAGAGAGTTCAGGCTGTGTTGAATAAAGGTGGTCGTACCAAATACTGACTTTTACCTTTTATACTGTATTACTGTGTATGTTTACATCACTCCTATTTCTACCAGCTAAATGTAAAGAAATGAAGGGTTGCTCAAAACCTTCACAGTTTCATATCAGTAAGACTCATATGAATATCATATGAGTCTTACTGTAACCTTGTATCATTTCCATAATAAAATGCAATAACAGCCTAGTGTGACAGAGCAGGTAGGAGAAAGCTGCAGCTTTACCTAATGTCATGAACAGTTTACATCTATAAGGGAAGTGTATTTGAAGTTTCTAATTTCTCTGATTGGGCAATCTGCGATTCCTTTCCTAGCTTCCTCTCCTCACAACTTAGTCCCTCCACCAGCAATGTGAATAGAGGTGAGAGGCATGATTAGGAAGGAGTCAGGGTAACAAGGACCCAACCTGAGACATGTTTGCTTCACAGCAAGTAAGGAACAACTTCATCATTATCTCAGATCATAAATGTGTTCAAGGTAACTCCAATATGATTGAGACATACTTAACATACCAAAAATAAAGTGAGAAGCAAAAGAACAACCTTTGAGTTGTGTAGATGTGAAGATAAATGTGAGTGAGTACAGATTCTAAGGGCCTGTATCTGGAATGATCAAGCAGTATACAGGGAGCGCAGAATTATTAGGCAAATGAGTATTTTGTCCACATCATCCTCTTCATGCATGTTGTCTTACTCCAAGCTGTATAGGCTCGAAAGCCTACTACCAATTAAGCATATTAGGTGATGTGCATCTCTGTAATGAGAAGGGGTGTGGTCTAATGACATCAACACCCTATATCAGGTGTGCATAATTATTAGGCAGCGTCCTTTCCTTTGGCAAAATGGGTCAAAAGAAGGACTTGACAGGCTCAGAAAATTCAAAAATAGTGAGATATCTTGCAGAGGGATGCAGCAGTCTCAAAATTGCAAAGCTTCTGAAGCATGATCATCGAACAATCAAGCCTTTCATTCAAAATAGTCAACAGGGTCGCAAGAAGCGTGTGGAAAAACCAAGGCGCAAAATAACTGCCCATGAACTGAGAAAAGTCAAGCGTGCAGCTGCCAAGATGCCACTTGCCACCAGTTTGGCCATATTTCAGAGCTGCAACATCACTGGAGTGCCCAAAAGCACAAGGTGTGCAATACTCAGAGACATGGCCAAGGTAAGAAAGGCTGAAAGACGACCACCACTGAACAAGACACACAAGCTGAAACGTCAAGACTGGGCCAAGAAATATCTCAAGACTGGTTTTTCTAAGGTTTTATGGACCGATGAAATGAGAGGGAGTCTTGATGGGCCAGATGGATGGGCCCGTGGCTGGATTGGTAAAGGGCAGAGAGCTCCAGTCCGACTCAGACGCCAGCAAGGTGGAGGTGGAGTACTGGTTTGGGCTGGTATCATCAAAGATGAGCTTGTGGGGCCTTTTAGGGTTGAGGATGGAGTCAAGCTCAACTCCCAGTCCTACTGCCAGTTTCTGGAAGACACCTTCTTCAAGCAGTGGTACAGGAAGAAGTCTGCATCCTTCAAGAAAAACATGATTTTCATGCAGGACAATGCTCCATCACACGCGTCCAAGTACTCCACAGCGTGGCTGGCAAGAAAGGGTATAAAAGAAGAAAAACTAATGACATGGCCACCTTGTTCACCTGATCTGAACCCCATTGAGAACCTGTGGTCCATCATCAAATGTGAGATTTACAAGGAGGGAAAACAATACACCTCTCTGAACAGTGTCTGGGAGGCTGTGGTTGCTGCTGCACGCAATGTTGATGGTGAACAGATCAAAACACTGACAGAATCCATGGATGGCAGGCTTTTGAGTGTCCTTGCAAAGAAAGGTGGCTATATTGGTCGCTGATTTGTTTTTGTTTTGTTTTTGAATGTCAGAAATGTATATTTGTGAATGTGGAGATGTTATATTGGTTTCACTGGTAAAAATAAATAATTGAAATGGGTATATATTTGTTTTTTGTTAAGTTGCCTAATATTTATGCACAGTAATAGTCACCTGCACACACAGATATCCCCCTAAAATAGCTAAAACTAAAAACAAACTAAAAACTACTTCCAAAAATATTCATCTTTGATATTAATGAGTTTTTTGGGTTCATTGAGAACATGGTTGTTGTTCAATAATAAAATTATTCCTCAAAAATACAACTTGCCTAATAATTCTGCACTCCCTGTAGTAACACCAAGGTTCCTGATAGACAGTTTGGCAAATGTAGCAAGTGGACCCAAGTTTTCCATAACACTAGGTACAAAATTTTTAGGAGCACAAACAAGGACTTCATGTCACGGCCGAGGCCACCTCAAAAGAGAAAGGACTCAAATGCTGGAAGTAGTTTTAGAGACAACGTTTATTTTCTCAGTTAGTGTTCATAAACAGGAAACTGGAATGTGCGTTTAACAAGTGCAAAATGCCACAACTAAACCAAAAGGGTTTTAAGCAGCCTGGGCTAAGTAAGCAATCTGGTGTTGGTCAGTGGAAACAGCAGTTCCTGTAAATAGAGTACAGACGTTCAGGTATGGTTCAGGAGGAATATCGGCAAGCTGTTCATTCTGAATTTTCCTTAGCACTGCGTACTTGCTGCGGGTGGTCTGTAGTGGCGTGGAGGGGTGGGTGGTCCGGGTGAGTGGTCCGAAATTCCTGGCATTGAGGCAGGAGGCAGGCAGGTGAGTCGGGTGAACAGCCCGTGGGACTGTCAGGTGGTCCAGCGTCCGGATTGGAGCTCTTTGGCGGAGATTTGTGTCTGGCAACTTGGTGCGTGGCTGTGAGAGAAACACACAATGAGACAAGGTAGTTTACAAAGCGTGTGCAAAATCACAGTGGTGGCCTGCACCAACTAAGGTTAGCTGAGAATCTGGCGAAGAGAGGTTGAGTGCGCTGGCCTTATGAGTCCCCGGCTTAATTACCCACAGGTGTGAGCAATCAGCAGAACACTGAGGCCCCTCCCAGGGGTGGAGATGCCAACTTGGAGGGAGACACCCTGGCACACACCCGGACCATGACACTTCAGTATTCTCCTCATTTAGTTGAAGAAAGTTTCCAGCCATCCAACCTCTAATGGAGTCTATGCACTTATGCAAAATCTGTAGCTTGGAAACATCATGCGGCTTAAAGGAGATGTATAACTGAATATCATCTGCATAGCAGTGATACGAAATGTCCTTAAAGGTGCTCAATAAGTGTTGAAGAGGAAGTAAATACAGCAAGAACAATAAAGGCCCCAAAACTGAACCTTGTGGCACACCATAGGCAAGAAAAGTAGAAGAGGAACTGTACTTAGAGGTAGCCACAGAAAAGGATCGTTCATGCAAAGAGGATTCAAACCAGTCCAAAGCAGCCCCTCATATACCCACCCAGTGTCTCAGCCTGTCTAGCAGAATATGATGGTCCACAGTATCAAAGGCGGAGGTCAGGTCCAACATCAACAGAACGGAGCATTCTCCTGCATCACATCTCATCAAAATGTCGTTGGAGACTATAAGAAGTGTAGTTTCAGTAGAGTGAGTTCTACGAAAGCCAGATTGGAATTTATCCAGAATGCTGTATTCATCTAGAACAGCTATAAGCTGCTTAGCCACAGCCTTTTGAAAATCTTAGCAATGAACGGTAATTTTGAAATCGGTCTGTAGCTACTAAGAAGAGAACCATCAAGCTTAGGTTTTTTTTAACAGTGGGTGAATAACAGCATTCTTACAATAAACAGGGACCTGACCAGAAACCAGTGAGGTATTGATAATTGTGAGCACACAGGGACCAATAGACTGAAAGACATTTTTAAACAAAGATCCAGGTAAAATATCAAGAGAGCCGGAGGACGCTTTCATCGAATTAACTAACTTGACCAGCTCAGGTAAGGACGCAGGTAAAAATCTTTCTAAAATTACAGGCCTAGCTTGAGTTGGAGCAGACAAGAGAGACACAGGAGAGATATTGTTCCTCACGTCACTGACTTTTTCAACGAAGAAAGAAAGAAATTTTTCACAATCTTCATTTGATGAAATTGGGACAGCAGGTGGAGCAGGAGCAACAATATCACTAATGGTGTTGATATTTTTCTATCACAAAAAATACAAGTCTTCATTGAAGTAAGCACACAGAGCAGTAGTGGATTTTTTTAAATATAATTTTTCTTTATTTTTGATTAGCAAATTACAAATAAAAAAAAAAACAACCCAGCTAACGAGCCCTGGTCAACCCCTCACTTGAATTTTTAATTTTCAGTTTAAGGCAATTAAATTCAAATCAAAAATTCAACCCCAACAATCAAGTGATTCCCTATGAGCAACCGTGGACAGGAAAAACTCCCTTTTAACAGGAAGAAACCTGTGACAGAACCAGGCTCAGGGACGGGCAGTCTTCTGTCATGACTGGTTGGGAGGTGAGGGCAAAATAAAATTTAACATAAATGAGAGCACAGTATAGTTATTGTGTTATAATAAGCCAATCAGGTAGGCCGTACAATTCCAAATATGTGAAGGTGGCCAGGTAAACTCCACCGAAAATAGCGCCCGCTATGGCAAGACCTATAGGGGGCGCTATAGGTCTGTCACACATGAAGCCCTACCTCGACAGCAAGGGCCGCGAGCTGCCGTCAGCTTTCGACTTTGTCGAATTCACTCGCTCGCTCTTTGATCCTTTCCCTTGTAACGTACAGGTGAGACTTGTACAGGTGTTAAATGTCATCATTTGGAAAGCATGTAACGTAGGTACGTTACATGCGAAGTTGGCAAAAGCACTCTGTGGTACTTCCTCTTGGATTTCACGCCTCATTTTCTCAGTCTCTTCCTTTAGTTCATTCAACTCCCTTTCAAAGTTGTCCATCCTAGTATTAAGCATTCTGTTTTGCTCTATGATAAACTCTAAACGCTGATCTATTGTCTCCATTGTGTGTCAAAAGAAAAAAAATGTTCCCTGAATTATTTAAATGTAAAGGTAGTGATGGCCCGCTTGAAGCTGACGCTCCGGAGCGTGTGTCGAAAAAAACAACACACTGGTTCAGAAGCACTGTGTCGAGGCTTGCTTCGTTTGGCAAAAGTCACGTGACCAGTGACGTCCGAAGCTTCATTACGCACGTAACTGCTTCGGTACCTGATTCAAACGGATATAAGGAAGTGAATCATCCACGGGATTCGTGGAGTGTGTTGATGGTGACAGATAGCGACGAGGTGATCATTCCACTGACAGATATGGAGCCAGCGAGGAAGAGAGGACGTTCTGGCGTGTGGGAATATTTTGAGTTGATTTTGCTCAATTCATTTTATCTGCCGAAGTGAAAAACTTGAAATGTCCAAAATCATGTTTTCATAATGTAAATATCATTACAGCATATGACTTTAGGAACACTTCCATGTGAATTAAAGCTAATGAAGACTACAAAAATGTATTTGACACTATACGTACATTACATTGCTACAGTTTAGAAAATCATTTTGTTTATTGTTTTTAGGTGATAGTCTGCAGGACCCAGGAATACCTGCATATCTACCAACTTGCAGTGTAGTTCCTGCACTCCACAGCCTCTTCTGTTCCATGCAAGTGGATTTTCTCCAGGGCAGGAGAAACTATTTCTAAGAAAAGAAACAGACTCAGCCAGCGCACAGTAACACTAATCCCCTTTTTAAATGTAAATAACAAAAGGGCTACCTTACATTGATCATGTTTTTACTTTGCAAGTTCTTGATTAGGGGTGGGTTTTGATTATCGCTTTTCTGATTACAATCCATGCTAAATTGAATAAAGTGATATTGATTCATTAAAATCCCGTGTCGATTTGTAAATTAACGTTATTATGCCTGAAACGCCAGCATCTCAGGTTAAACCTCACAACATGTCGTCAAACACCATACAGCTAACACAGTAACTGGGAGCAGGTTTACGGATTCTGCATACAAACGTGAACACAGAGCGCGGACCCGACGCGTCAGAGTCAGATTTTGATGTGTCGGCGGGTCCGCGCTGTGTTTGCCTCTTTTTTTTTTCGCTGGCTTCTGCAGCTGCAGGTTTCATAACTCTCTGTTTACATCTCTAATTAAGTCTCACATGTGTCAGCTTTCTTTTAATAGATACGAAATTATGGATATATACTGATACATGACCAGAATTGTAATATTTCTGACTGAGGCAAAACTTTCCAGATTCCAATCAAATTGAATCGGATCCTGTATCGAATCAAAATGATTCTACAAATCAGTGACGATGCAGCCGTACTCAGCTTCCTAAGCATTTTCCCTTTCCAGTTCACAATCAATCCCACCCCTAAGTCAAAAATATGTATAGGAATTGGCCTAATCTAATATTTTGTATGAACCTGTCCAGCTGTCCAGTGATTAAACGACAAGTAGATGGAGGCAGGACTTCACAGCAGGGGCATACTCCATAATGTGCTGTGCATTCTCATATGTATATTATATATATTGCTCACTTATTGTATTTACCAACATCAAGGAGTTATGAGCAAAGAAAGGCCACACCATAGTGCATGTTTAAATAGGGAAAGTTTATTGATCAAAATGTATTACGCAAATACGCATTACATTTTTTTCAGCCCCCCAATCGAGAAAACAAAACCAATTACATGTTCAAAGCAACGGAACGGTGGCCCAATATCAGAGAGAACTCCACTCTTGAGTGAGCACTGATAATTGAGCAGTCCGTTTTATTTTGCAGATTCAAGCTGCTCTTCAACATTTTCACCACCAGATGTCACCGGAGAGGACTGTGTTGAAAAGCTTCGAGTAATGAACCGCTTTTCAATACAAGCTTCAGTGCTTCGGAAAGCTTCATTTGGCCATCACTATGTAAAGGTATTACCTTTGTCAAAGATCCCTGCTTTGCAAAAACAACTCGCTGTTACTGAAGACGCACCAAGGTAAACTGTGTTAAAGCACCTCTATTTAAGGACTCATGTGGTAGAGCTGGTGACGGTCGACCGTCACGGGAGACTGTCTCGTGACGGTCACAGTCTCCCCTTTGAGAAGATCAAAGGATCAAAGAATACCTCCGTGTCATTCCGCGCATGCTCAGATCATGCGTATTGAAATGAACAGGATATTTATTTATTCATTTTAAATACCTTGCTATATAACAAAGGTGACTGCGCACTCAAAGGACGAGGAGAGTTCAAAATAGGGCACATATCGGATGACGATATGAAAAAGTATATCGCTTCATATTACGGCAATTCAAAGGCACAAGATAAATGACAGGTATCACGTCTCACTCCTCTTTGCCTCCGTCCACCGTTTGTGCGCAGGCTCACACAGCACTCGGCAGAGAACTCCCCCCGAAACATCCATGCAACGCATCTTGCTACCACCTTCAAGTTGTACTCAAGTTTATAAAGAACCCATGTCAAAGTATTGTGGTTAAGTTAAATCCAATTTATTAACCTACCTCTGAGATGAAGTACAGATCCAAAGAACGTACTGTCTCCCGTTTGGCTACAGGAGGCAATGAGGTGCGTTTAATGTTTCTCTGTTAATTTGTGTTTCTATGAAACCGCGATAAACTGGTGTTTATGTGGGTTTTTTTTTTCGTTATTACTATGCCAACCCGTTTTAGTTTTTTAACTCTTGGAATGTCCTGGAGCCATTTTTCATCCACTGTGTTTTTTAATTTCAAGCCATTTTCACTGTGTTGAATAGAATATAGCCAAATTTGCCAAACATTTTTTTTTTTTTTAAATTTAGAATTGCGGTCTGAGTTCATTAAATTAGCTTAAAGTGGCTAAGCTACAAACCGCCATCCACCTTTTGCTCTAGGACAAAAGGTGGATGAAACCGCCATCCACTCAAGGTCCTAGAGCCAAAAAACGCCCCATTGAAACCCATTATAAACGCTATTTTTCATTGCAGGATCATTATAACCAAATGTAGTGCCATCCTCCAAGTCAGGGTGACACTTTGGAGTCCGGGCCTTAAAATTGTAATTTTTTTAGTTGTCCACCAGGTGGCGCCCTTTTTTATATTTCAGCATTGAACGAACTCAAGCCAAAAATTCCGTTTTTGAGCGTGTCTTTCTGCTTTAAAAAGTGGAAAAAAAGAGTGGTGTTGTGTGTCACTATCAAGGACGTCTTTATACCTAAAAAAGGAAAAAAAGATACAAACACTCCTTAATCAAGGGACTGGAACAGCTGTAACTAAGGTAACTCAGAAAACAAAAGGTTAATCATACATAACAGTGTAAACTAAAATGTGCGCACTTATTTTAGAATGCAGTGTTATGTGGATATGTGAATTAACTCTAAACCAAAACCAGTTATTTATTGTCCTGTAAATTAATTCCTATATTTAAAGAAAGACAAATGTGAATGCAATGTTACTTATATAAGCCTCTACACTAACATGTTGGGTATTACCACTGTGTGGCTGTAAGTGCAGCCATCACATTGTGAAACAAGAATCTAAATCTTTGTGAAACAATGATTTCTATAAAAGCATGTTGTTTATGGGGATAATGTGACAAATCCTTTGTGGGCCCTAATAATGATCAATGGTGATTGAAGAGGAAGCTTGAACCCTGGCTCTGGAGATTTTCATGACAAGTGACAGTGCAGACATCTGCTAATGAGAGAACATGTTTTATCATCATAACGACTGAGAATTTAAACGTCGTTAAAGTGTCACTTCAGCAGTGCTGCCGGGAGAAAGAAGTGTTGACTCATGTTTTTTAATAGAAGACTTAAAACACTAAACTCTAATTTCAGGGGTTTATTTTAAGTTTACAGAATATAACATCTGGTATGACAATGAGTTTTACTTCTCACTGTCCGTGTTATGTGTATCAATTTATCATGTATGCTACTTTGCTCTGTGGACTAAAATGTTTCATTGTATTCATGAAATAAACCAGAATTTCAATGTCCGAATCTTTTACTGTTTTTCTGCTTTTGTTCGCTCCAAGTTTGACAAAACCCACAGCTCACTAACAATGTGGAGCAGTCTCAGTGTATTTAGCTGCTTTTTCCCTAAACACAATCAGTTAACTGAGAGAAATGCCTGTAGTCATCCACTTTGGTCATTGTGAATGTTGAAGGAGATTTGTTCCATAGACACCTTATACTAGTGTTTCCTACTCTTAATCCAACCAAGTTTATTGCTGGACAACACAGCTAGCAGTTGGAAGATGAATGATTGCGTTTTTATGATGCATAGTACCCCCTCTTCTTCTTCTCTGTGTTGTTGTTCTTGTGTATGTGTGTGTGTGTGTATGCTGTAGAAGTCAAAGTATGCATTAGCCACACTTACAAAAACATTTTGAATTTCATTTAGAACTGAGATTCTACGTTGTAAGCAGAAATTTTATGCTCAGCCTGAAGCGCGTTGCCCCACTTTCACAATGCTAAGGTGTCAAATCCACAACCCCCACAGATGGTTTGTCACACGCTGGGTTCAAACACTCAAAAAGCAACACAACAGCAGGTTCAAGAAGGGCAAGTCACCCTTTATTTGCACAGCCTCACACAATGGTGTACAATGGTATAGCCACAGATGTGACTTCTACTTTTGATAAAGACCACTCCACCTGCATATTTCTTAAGAAATGAAGTGTCTTTATTAAGCTATTATTTATAAATGTCTTCACAATAAGAGACACCATGTGCTCTGTGACATTATAGTCTTAAACTCTTAAACTCCCAACCTTTCAGGTTGTTATGAATGGCTTATATTTCTAACATTTTGTGATGTAAAAGTGAACCACACGGCTATTTTATTTTCTGTATGATGGGATGACTTAAGACACGAGTTATTTAAACAATTCTAAATGACAGCGTGATGGCCATAGTACTTTATGCGGGTCAAATATGTTAACAATAATGTTTCTCAATGTAACATTGCAAAGGACTTTTGGATAGGATACATTTTTTAAACAGTTACCTCTGTTATGCTGAGTGAACGGACTCTATGGCAGAATACACAGAAGCGCAGGGAGTGCTCTTTATTTGCTGTGTCAAACTTATTTACATGGGATGAGATAATACTGATGAATAAACAGAAGGAAACCAGGGGAAAAAGAGATGATTATAGAAAAAAAAAAAACAGAATGAAACCAGAAGAAACAGGGGAGGGAGGCACTGGCTGTACAGCCGGCGATTCGGGATGGGGAAACGTGATTGTGTGTGAAATGCGCTTCACCAGCTGACAGGTAGGGGTGGATCGGTGAGATACAGGAAAAGGTAAAAAAAATCAAGACATAGTGGGTAATGCACACCGAGAATAAACTACATCGAGAGGTAGCAATACTCCGACAACGTCAGGAGTGAGAGAGTTTAAGGGGGTGCTCAAAGTTAAAAAGGACATTGAACATGCTGAATAACAACACACATCATCAAGAATCTAATATGGAAGGCAGGCTGTTGATCTGAGACTAGACATTAAAAAGTCACAGGAAGATGGTACTGATTAAAAAGTGTATGAGATAATAACAAAATGCAAAGATTGGTGACAGCGCTTGGAACCATAAGGCAACGAAAAACTGTGACATAACTCGCTCTGCTGTGAATCACTCTTTGCTTCTCTTCTTCCTTCCTTCCCATCATTTCATATATCACTCTCCACTTGCTGTCTATCTGAGAACAAGGCACAACTTGCTATTGCAATAAACTATAATCTAATTATCCACACCTAACAACTCTTGCACTTAATCTATAATAAAATGATGACAGAAAAATGTTATAGCACTGCCTTTAGTAGCCTCATACAGCTCCTACTGTTTCCTCCTCATGTCCTTACCAGCCATGTCTGCACAATGTTATATCATGAGTAATATTTTTTTAAATCCAGCTAAATAAAACACACACATGCACACACAGTGACATTTTAGACCTTCTTCAGAATACTGTATATACTATGGGCATCCTTACATTATTATTTATTACTAGAGCTACAATAATAAAGCAATGAGGAGGGGGAAGTAATAAATATGAAATAATGTATTTATGATGATTCCATTTGTTTCACTATCCACTCTGTGCAGGGCAAAGCTTATTACATTTTTAAACTGTATTTTTACTGCTGTAAAATCCAACTTTTGTCTTATTTAAAATATAAATCTAATATAATCTGCTTCTTAATGTATGTTCTTTAAAATACAGCGTGTGTTTTTTAATATATTATAATTATAATAATTATTATGTGGACATGCATATTAGATCGTTTTTTAGTGAAATATAATCCCTCCAGAAAGGCAGGAAATGCCCAGAAACTTACTTTAAAACTAAATATGTTCCCTAAAACGGTGACAGAGCTACAGACCCATGACAGCCTTACACAGGTAGCCAGCAGCTATGACCAGCACTACTTGTGCAGTTAATAAAAGGACAGGTAATGTTTGTCGCGCTGTTGCACACACAGCACGCTCGTTTGTTTCAGTTCGTCAGTTGCAACAAGACATCTTACCAACGTGTACGTAATGAGCGAATACTCCTGGGTGCTACACACTACAGTGTACGCTGTACACCTACTTACTGGTTTTGTCGCATCAGTTTGTGTCTCTGAGTTAACTTGTGTTTCTCCTGCAGCTCCGGACCGCTAAAAATGCGCGTGCTCTTTGTGAGCTCGTTCCCGGCTCGTAACCAGCGCGTTCTGCCGTCGAGGGCGATCATTGGTTAAATGTGATCATGTGACTGATGCAAGCCAGATCTTTTTATTTAGCAAAACTATGATTAATAGTTAAATATTATTGTTGAGGGGCACAGACAGGACTCCGCACGCACACACACATAAAATAAATAAATAAATAAATAAAAAAAATTTAAAAGTTGCCTCAACAAAAGGGCACTTTGGGCACTCATCAGGAAAGGGGCGGGTGCTCAAGCCCCTCTAGCCCCCCCCTCTGCACGTCCCTGCCAGACGTCAGTCGCGCTGCTCCTAAGTAACGCTCCATCAAATGACGTCTGATGCACCGCCGGTGTCAGCATCCCGTGACACCACCCGCTACCTGTGCTGAAACAGAAGCAGACCGTGACACACACAGAGAAACACAATCTAACAACCTCAGAACCTGTACTGTCAGATCTATGTATGTAAGTTAAACTTCACATAATCACTAAGTAACCAAACACATGAAGTCACCCTTACCAATAATCGACTGTTCCTTGAAAAAAGTAGCACAAACAGACAACTAACTCATCAATGATAAGTAGAGCTACCCGAGGCCAAGACTCAAGCAGAAGAAAATTAAAAGTTGTTTTGTTTTTTTATGGCTCGAAAGATTGAAGAAAAATATGTTTAATAATTCAACAAGAGCCACACCTTCAACACATGTACATTCAAATTTTGGAACAGGCTCAACATTGCTGTTGTTCAATAGTTTTTATCCACTCTCAAAAGTCATTTTATGGCTTTAATATTTCCAGCTGATAAGGAGACTTATGGCATTTCAAATGTGCGTCCAAATGCTTTAAACATCCGCTTTGTCTGTAATGACAGTATC